ATATATATATATATATATATATATATATATATATATATATATATTATATATATATAATTATATGTGTATATATAATTAACAGGAAGACCCCACTCCTCCCTCCTCCCACTCAAATAAGGTGTTGATGCATGTTGTTATATATCAGGGATCAGGGGGCAATCTACTTAATGAAGATAGTATGACTTGAAATCATTCATAAAACAGGAAGGAGGGCTTATTATCCCTCCTCTTACTACAGTGAGTGTGGTACTTTGATATATACGACTATATGGCATCAGAGGAAGCTGAGTTTAAGTTATCCACATAAAGTAAAATGTCATCAGCATCAAAAGAAGGAATGTTAAGTTTGAGATTAATCCAGTTTCTGATGTCTGACCAAACACTTTGTATTGACATGAAAAAATAAGAAAATTGCTCGAGGGATTCATCTTCTGATTTACAACAGACACACAAATCAACCTCAAATTTAAATCTTCTTTGCAGAAACATGGCTACAGGATATATCTTATTGATTATTTTTAAATGATTCTCCTTCACTTTAGGAGATTTAGACCATTTGACAAATTTAGAATGAGCAGAAGTCATTCTGGTTTTATACTGGGAGGTTTCTTGAAGGAATCCTTGTTATAATCAGTAACTCATTTGTCACAAACATTCATTGATAATCTTATTACATTTGAAGTCAACTAAGTTACAGATATTTAGTTTTAATGTGGGCACCAAATCTTCATCTTTGAATATATAATATTTTTAATTCATTGAATCAGCTGTTGGTCAGGTTACTTCTTGTTGTGCCATTAACTCTAAAATAGTTACTGAATCAAGTGTTTACTTGTGTAGGTAAAACTAGAAGTTACACAACCGTTAAAATACACCAGAATGCAGGAAATGACATCTACTTTATTCAAAAATTTCTATGGGAGGACCCCCAGACCCCCACATCACAAATGCTTCTGACACCAGTGGCCAACATGTTACTAAACAAGTACACATGGTGTCATGTGGTGTCATGTGGTGTCATGTGGTGTCATGTGGTGTTCAAGGTGCGTTCAACTTAACTCAGTCTTTATGATTTACGTCAACAAGAGGACGTACAGTAACATTTATAGTTCTATGATCATATGGATTTTTATACATCAAAATACACTTGATAGAATTTTAAGTATATTTACTGTATATTATGGTAGTTTATTCTGTATTTTGACAGATTATGGTGATTCTGGGGTCATGATGATGGGGCCCTTGAAGATTGTTGCCCAGGGTACAGTGAAGTGTTAATCTGGCCCTGAGGCCAGTAACCTGTGTCCTCCGGTACAGACCGCCCACAAGCCTGCATGCAGCCAGCAGAGGTCATCACCCAGAACCACCAAAGCCACCTCCCCAGTCGAGCGCCATTGCCCTGGGCCCACGACCCCCTCATGCCCCCAGCCCCGATACCCCCCCACATCAACAACGATGCCCCACAGGACGAAATCAAAGGGGTTCACCCACCTCCACTACGTGTTGGAGCTGATCAAAGAAGCCCAGAGAGATTGTTCTGATGTGGCCATACAGGCTCAAGACTCATGTAATCCAACCAAGGCCGGCCGACCCATAAACGGACTAAGTGGCTTCTTAGGGCCCCGTGGCCACTAGGGGGCCCCCTAAGTGGAATTGATATTCCATCCATCCATCCATCCATCCATTATCTTTACCCGCTTATTCCATTTTGGGTCGCGGGGGTCGCTGGTGCCCATGTCCAGCAATCACTGTGCGAGGGGCGGGGTACACCCTGGACGGGTCTCCAGTCCATCACAGGGACACATAGAGACAAACGAGACAAACAACCATTCACTCTCTCACTCACACCTAGGGACAATTTAGAGTTACCAATCAGCCTAACATGCATGTTTTTGGTCTGTGGGAGGAAACCGGAGTACCCGGAGAAAACCCACGCATGCACGGAGAGAACATGCAAACTCCACCCAGAAAGGCCCCTGGACCGGGGTTTGAACCAGGGACCTGCGCGCTGAGAGGCAGCAGCTCTACCAGTTGTGCCACCGTGCTGCCCGGAATTGATATTTTATTTATTTATTTATTTTTAGTAATGATTGATTTCTATATAATTCTATTACACACAATTTCATTATAAAGTTGTGATTTTTCCTATAAACAATAATAGTTATGTCACCAGGTGGTTTATTAGTTTCTACTTAGTATTTATGTACAAGTGTCTGTAAATTCCCACCCATGTTGGGTCCATGAACGCACCTTCGCCTTTTCCTCACCTCCAGGAGAGAAGTGAGTCAAAGAGGAGCAGCTTGTTCTGCAGAAAGGTACATTTTAAACTCTGGTCAAGTTGTTAAATCTGAACAGAAACAGCATTACCCTGTCTGAAGTTTATATGGGCTGAGTTTTTATAAGATATTAGTTTCAGTGTGTGAGCAGAGAAACCTCAATAAAATCATCTTTGTTAGGAAAAGTGAACCACTCAATAACAAGTCATGCACAATTTATAACTTGTTAGGATTATTTACTGAGACCAACAACGGTCTGAAGCAAGTAACTGGCCCAAAGACAACTCACATAGAAACAACATTAATCACAAGATGTCATTCTGCATCGAGCTGCATTTCTAACGCTGCCTACGACATTTGATGCAGAAATGCTTAAGTGAAAAGGGAATTATACATTTTATGACGGAGTATCAGGACCACGCTGACAAGAAACATTTTTATGCAGAGAGCCGTATCTTGAAACAGGAAAGCAGATCAGATGTGTAACAGAGAACAGCTCTGTCTGTGATGTGTGTTTTTATTCACCAACACACGTGTAACGTGTGTGTATTAAAACCTTATAATTAATCTAGCTTTTCATGTCATGGACGTAGCAACTCAGATTTTAGAAGAATATAATGCAATATTCTGTTATAGTTTACACTGTATAGCTTTAGTTACTGTAAAATTCCATCTTATTTCAAGACACTCAAAGTTCTTTACACCACAATCTGTGTCCTCATTTACCCATTCATACAGCTCTATACTAGATCTCTACAAAGATAAGTGAACAAATCATTAGGACATTAGGAAACTCAGGTGATTTAAGATCATCTGCAGTTGTCATAGATTTATGAGTCTCTTGTAAAAAGACAACATCTGCCTGTAATCTTTTAAGCTTAAGTCTTTTAATCAGGTCTCTCTTGTAAGATCAATGTGATTAAACTGTCTAAACTAAATAAAGGTTTAATGAATATATATGTATCTGGTAAGGATGCTTCCTGGGCGCCTCCCCAGGGAGGTGTTTCTAGCATATCCAACTGGGAAGAGATCCTGGGGAAGACCAAGGACACGCTGGAGAGACTATTTGTCTTGGTTGGCCTGGGATAACCTTGAGTCCTCCCAGAAGAGCTGATAGAGGTGGCTGTGGAGAGAGATGTCTGGATGTTCCTGCTCAAGCTGCTGCCACCAAGACTTGACTTCAGAACAAGGGGAAGACTATGGATGGATGGATGGATGGATGGATGGATGGATGGATGGATGGATGGATATAATACACACACACATAGAATGACAAACTGAACTGACAAGTTCCTCACCTGTAACTGAATGAGTACTGTCTATAAACATGTAGCAGTTCATGTACATCAGATGCTGATAGAAGAGACTCCTGAACTGGTTGACCCAAGGCTGGACAGTACTGATCATGAAAGGGACTGTCCCAACAAACCAGCTAATCATCTACCTCTGTACAACATGGAAGCTCCTGTCAGGCATCATTGCAGCTAAGATAATTAGACACATGCACTGAAGAATTTAGGAGGAACAACGTTGGTCAGTCTTGATCATGGAACACTTGACAAGCTTTCTACCCGTGCTAAGCTCCTAGAGGAGGCTTGGGAGTTTGTCCAACCAGTCCCCGTGAGTTTTGTGCACTTGGAGAAGGCATTCAGTTGTGATCCCTGGGTTATCTTGTGGGTGTGCTCTCTGAGTTCAGGATTGGGAGTCTGTGGTTATGAGCCATTCAGTCCCTATACACATGATCCAAAAGTCTGATTTGAGTTGCTGGCAGTAAGCCAGACCTCAGAGTGAGAGTCATGCTCTGCTACTGTTGCCTGTTCTTATTGATTCTGTTCATAACTTTTATGGACAGAATGTCTCTGTGCAGCCAGGGGCCAGAAGGGGTCTGGTTCGGTGGCCTCAGGGTTCCTATTTGCAGATGATGTGATCCTATTAGGGTCATCTTGCCGTGGTCTCCAGCTCCAAAGTTTTAGACTAAGATTATCTTATGATGAGAAATGATGGAGTTGTATCAGTTTAGCTCAAACCTTGAAAAACAAGTGGTGTGAATGCAAGGGCGTGAGAAGCATCCATAATGTTGGGGGGACACAATGATGTGTAGGTGTGTGTGCGTGCGCATAGTGTGCGCGTGTAAAATAAAAGGTTCACTAGTGAACAAAAAAGCAACATTTCACTTACATTTCCTTTAATTCCACACATTTAAAACATGTTTCTCACCAAGTTTGTGTAAATTCAGCTGTGGGTTTAAAGACATTTTAATTTTAATACAGAGCGTCAGGTCGGCACTATTTGTGTTTATTGTGAAATAAAAAACATCACCACTGGACTTTTTACTTGTGTTCAACACGACTCATCTAAATGATGTTTCTCATGAAGCTTGAGGACAATAAGGTGTGGGGGTTTAAAGACATTTCAACTTTACTCTCCATCTCCTCCACCTGTGCGCGTTTTCTGCCGAAGGAGGAGGAGACGCACAGAAACACTGCAGGTGTTACACCATATTCTGTGACCACCGTATATTGTGACCGTGGCAACAGGCTGAGGTGTTCAGAGTTGGAGGTAACCAGGAAAACCTGGAGTGGAGTTTTAGTGTTTTGAGTATTCTATTAATCAAGTGGAATGGATTCGTTCACGAAGAAAGAGAAACTGTGCTTCCTGAACTACGGTTTCATAGTAAAAGTGTGTGGGGGTGTGTGTGTGTGTGTGTGTGGGGGGGGGGGGGGGGGGCCAAATTAATGTTTGTTTAATGTGGGGGGGACTTGTCCCCTTCACATATAATGGTTGCGACGCCTATGTGTGAATGACTCAGCTATGAGTATGTCCATTTTTAGCTCAACATCTGTAAAACTGACTAACTTCTAACCTTTTCTGTGTTTTCTAAAATCAGTTAGCCATGACAGCCATCTTGCGGGGAGTGGTGGCGCAGAGGTTAGAGAGGTGGGCCTGTGATCCCAAGATCCGAGGGTTCACGCCCTGGCCCCGACAACATCAAAATTGTGGGTGGGGTAGGTGAAGCACCCACACTTGCCCCCACCCTCATTCGCCCCACTCTGGGCCCATGAGCAAGGCCCTTAACCCCCATCTGCTCCCTAAACAGGTCTCTCTTGAAAATGAGTTCTCGTGGCTCATTGAGACTACCTGGATAAATAAAAGGGTAAATGAAAATAAACTGAGTTGACTCTAAAAGTTAATTGCATCTAGATGTACATAACATTATTACATCAAGAATGGTTACAATCCAGACATAAACATATCTACCTGTATCCTAGAATGACTCACACCGACTGAACGAGGCAGCTTTATGTGTCTGGATGGGTTGTGGTATGTTTTTCTGTTGGAAACTGTATAAAATTAATTAAAACAAATAATCAGAGTCAGAGATTCTTTATTGTCATTCGCACCTCATGTGGTACATGTGGTGGAGCAAAATTATGTACACAGGGTCCCAGTTACATCCAACAATAAAATGTATAAGAAAAACAGTAATAACATCTAAGATATGAACTAAGAAAAACATCAACTAAATATACACTAAGCACTCATAACATAAAACATTGAACATCAGCACAAACATGAACATGAGTCTGTGAGCAGATGTGCACACATCAATATTGAAACAGGTCAGCAGCAACATGAAACAGATCAGCAGCAACATGATGTGATTTTTCACAGTGATTATCCTGGTTAGAGATTCATGACTCTAACAGCCTCAGGGTAGAAGCTGTTCCTCAGTCTAGTGGTTCTACACTTAATGCTCCTCAACCTCCTTCCTGAGGGGAGCGGGGCAAAAAGTGTGTGTGCTGGGTGAGTGTGGTCCTTCATGATGCAGGTGGCTCTCTTCCTGCATCTGGAGGTGTAGATGTCTGTGATGGTGGGGAGACTGACTCCAACATCTTCTGTGCAGCCTTCACCACTCTCTGCAAAGCTTTTCTTTCTGCAGCTGTGCAGCCTCCATGCCACACGTTGATGCTGCAGCACAGGATGCTCTCCACTGCACACCTGTAGAAGGAGGTGAGGACTGAGCTTCCCAGACCAGCTCGTCTCAGCTGTCTGAGGAAGTAGAGTCTCTGATGAGCTTTCTTCATCAGGCTGGTGGTGTTGTTGCTCCAGCTGAGGTTGTCATTCATGTGTACACCCAAGTACTTGTAGCTGGAGACCACTTCCACCGCAGATCCTCTTATGTTCGGGGGGGGGTTGTTCCTTCTGAAGTCAACAATCATCTCCTTTGTCTTCTTCACATTGATGTGAAGGTTATTCTCTTTGCACCAGCTCTCCAGGTGTTCCACCTCCTGCCTGTAGCTGGACTCATCATTGTTTGTGATGCATCCCACCACCACTGTATCATCTACAAACTTTACAATGTGACAGCCTGGATGGGTAGCTGCACAATCATACGTGAGCAGAGTAAACAGGAGGGGGCTCACCACACATCCCTGAGGAGAGCCAGTGCTGAGGGTTATGGTGGAGGAGGAGAAGTTGTGGATCCTCACTAACTGTGGTCTGTTTGTTAAGAAGTCTAGTACCCAGTTGCAAATGGAGGGGCTTAGTCCTAGTGTGGATAGTTTGTCCATCAGGGTTTGGGGGATCATGGTGTTGAAGGCGGATGTGAAGTCCACAAAGCGCATACGGACGTAAGAGTTTTTCTGCTCCAGGTGGGTGAGCGCAGTGTGGACCACAGAGGAGATTGCATCCTCTGTTGATCGGTTCTCACGGTATGCGTACTGATGAGGGTCCTCGTTGATGTTGATGGTTGTTTTGATGCGAGTCATGACCAGTTTTTCAAAGCATTTAGCGACTATCGGGGTGAGGGCCACTGGCCGATAGTCATTCAGACCAAATAATAATGATCATTCCAAATTTCATTTTCAGGCATTTGTGTTAGAAAATGTTTTTGTAAAAATATTTTGATTTACATTAGAATTAAGTAAAAAGGGTC